GGCACGCAGGAGTCTCGGTCCAGAGCAGCAATGCAGTTGGAGCGCGATTTGCAAAGGGACACGATCTATGCGATGTATGCCACCGAGTTTGTCATGGTGGTTGTAGGCGCGGCAGAGAAGGATACCTTGGCGGCGGCTGGGGTGCACGTGGACTCACGCACCCTCGCGGTGCTTCGTGCGATCTTGGCGGGCTTGCCGGGCAGTGTCGAGAGGCAGCGGGAGGCGGCAGCGGCGCGTATCGAGAAACAGCGGGAGCGTGAGGAGCGAAAGCATGCGGATCTGATCTACAAGGACGTGGGCAGCATCTCAGACACGTGCGGGTATCGTACATTTTTCAGCTTGGTCATGAAGGACATCATGGCATCACCAACGCTCGCTGGCAGGCACGACCCTGGCCCACAACCCCTTAACCCATTTTAAACCATCCTTAAATTACCCCTAGACCCAAACCTCAAACCCGAACCTCAAACCCAGGTCCGTCCATGCGACAAAGCTCGAGGGGGCGATGCGACGCGATCGCAACTTCCTCGCCTACGTGGTCGAATTGACGGTGCGGATGCAGAAGAATGCGATGGACCTGGAACCCAGCGAGAAGCAAGAGGATGAGCTCGAGGGCCTGCTTCGCATCTGTCTCATGGTCAAGAATTCAAAGGGGTGGCCGGTTTCAGAAGGCGGTGTCGGGAACATGACGCGACAAGCGTCGATTGATTATTATCGATCGGTGTTCGGCAAGGTCACCGACACTCCCCCAAAAGTCGAGTTCAAGCCGATGTCAGAGATGTCGGACTGGGTGTTGTCCATCCTGAAGAAGCTTGCCGCTGCCGAGTGTGGCGAAGAACGTGCGGTCGTCTCGATGGACCTCGAGAGGAGGATGCGTACAACACCTTCTTTTCTCCAGTACGTGGAGCGGCTGTCGTCTTCGGCTGAAGAGAAGCTGTTTGCCGACCCGACCAAGCGACCCGACGGGGTTATGGGAGAGCTGTTGCTGGGGTTGGCGGTCAAGAACGCGAAGGGATGGCCAGCTGCAATCAACGCGAAAGAGGCGTCAGCCCGCCTCTCTGAGATGGAGACGTACAAGATTGTTTTCGGTACCATCACAACAGACCTCGATTTCCGTCTTATTGGGGGGGTCACGTATGGCTCCGTTTGTGTCCGTGGCGCAGCATCTCTGGGGGTCCCTTCCAAGAGCACTACCCCCTCGCCACCACCACCCGACTACTCTCCAGACGCTGCGATGACCAAGGAGCAGTTCGACACCAAGTGGCAGCGGGCGCGTGCGTTTTCCAAGGCGCGCTGGAAACGTGCGTGTGAAGAGCGGGATGTCGAGCGGGATGCGAAAGTTGCGTCGGAGGAACGCTTCGTTCGCGCTGTCGAGAGACGTGCGCGCCGACGCGCTCAGGGCACCGTCGCAAGCACGTCTAGATCCTGGAGGGGGTGGGAGCCGGTTGCGTTCGAGGAGGACATGTCCGAGGAGGATATGATGCCTTTCTTAGAAGAGGGTTCGCCGGTGTACAAGCAGGCGGCACTGCACATCGATGACCACGCGAATATGCAACCCAACTGGGAGTTCGTTTGTGGGACCCTTGGAGAACAACGTTATTCACAGTGGGGTACCGGTATGGTTCCCCAGTAAGTTGTGGGCGTGTGGGCGTGTGGGTGTGTGGGCGTGTGGGCGTGTGGGCGTGTGGGTGTGTGGGTGTATATGTGAATAAATCAAAAGAAACAAACTCCGCCTTGTGTATGTGGCGGCGCGTGGGTGTGTGGGTGTGTGGGTGTATGTGTGAATAAATCAAAAGAAACAAACACCGCCTTGTGTATGTGGTGTGAGTGTGTGGGGTGTGTAAATGGCTGTGAGTGTAAAGTAAAGTCGTTCCACTTGAAAGTGGGAATCGTTGCACATCGGGATGTGTTGAAATATTTATTGTTGGTCCTAGACACTCTCACTCACACACAGCAGGCTGTGGCCAGTCTACAAGAGGCTACGACCAGTCCGACGCAAAGAGCTAAGAGAGCAAGTTGTAGAGCTTATCGTAACACCATACATCAGACCGAAGCAATTCTCGTGGGGATTTTCCGTTGGCATTCGGAATATTCGGGTCTGCACCTTCAGCCATTAGGGCTCGTACAAAGCTGAGTAGAGTCCTGGCAACCGCCTCATGCAGCGCGGTGTTACCATTCTCGAATATTGCATCGACATTCCCTCCACTCCCAACAAACGCGCGTACATAGCCAAAGTCGTTTCGTTTCAATGCATCTTCGAGTGAAGGTTTGCGCGCGACTTCAGCTTCGTATGCATGTTTGCGCGCGACTTCAGCTTCGTATGCATGTTTGCGCGCTGCTGCAGCTTCGTATGCATGTTTGCGCGCGACATCCAAACCTCCTGTACATTCCCATCTGTGAAAGAGAGACGATAGGATGTCTTCTTCTGAGCTCTTCATGTCTGCAATTCGTTTATCTCTCACTCTATTTATTTCGAGCTCAAACATATCAGATTCATAGTAACCGATATGTCTCCACCTGCGATGTCTCACCTCTGGGTCTTCAAGGCTTTCTTCGTGTTTCATGTATGCCAACTGCTTGGCAGTTTCGCGGTCTTGAGGAGCGTTTTTCTCACGTGCTTCATTGGCTCTGACACTCTTCTGGGACATGTATTGCAAGAATATTGGTGATCGCGAAAAATACTCCATGTCGAAATTGGTCAGAATTATTATTGTATATGCTTAAATACTAATAGCTCATACACATGAACATTTAGAAAACAATGCAACGCGTTGCAGGAGGCGGCGGTCGACATTCTTATATGTGACAAGTATGTGTGTTTTTAGTAGACTCTCTTACCCGCTATATGTGTCTGCAGCGTTTCACTAATATGTAACGGGTGGTACGTGCAGATTGTACATTTAGATAGTCTGTGGGTCTACTTGCTTCCAACTTGATTCTCTTCAGTGGAATTGTTTTGATCATTTATTCAAAATCGCTTACTGCAGCCTGCATGTCAAGGACATCGGCTTTCCTCTTCCTATTCTGGTCCATGAAATTTGGCGGTAGAATGGCCTGGGCATTGGCCAACGCAGTCTTCTGAGACTCGTTGATAATGGGAGCACGTCGGCGTCGTTGGTTGACGTTGCATTTTGTCCCTTGACCGCCTGTGATACACACGACTTTGTCACGGCCGTTGGCACCGGTAGTCCTTGAGACAACTTTCACATGTTTGAGAATCGTAATGCCAAACATGAATCTGAGATTCGTGTCGTTTGTCCGCTCAATGCAGAGCTTATCACACTTCCGTAATGGTAAAGGACTTTTCCCTACTCCAGAGACCTTCCACAACCTCTGTGACCCGACTTCCAAAAAATCAAAAAGCAACTGAAATGCACATTCGAGCGTAGAAATGTCAGCATAAGTACTGCATGCTCGGATTGGACAGTAAACCAATCCAAGATCCTTGAAAGCTTCATCCGTGTACTTGAAACGTTCGTTGTTGTCTCCCCGTGTCAGAACGGGTATGTTCACTGGATTTTTCAATATAAATCTGGTGAACTCTGCCGTTGACTCTCCCATAGTAGCATCGCCCCTGGACATCAATGCGTACATCGCATGGTCGCTTTTTCCTTCCCAGAATGCCGTACGGAGAGTCATTCCGCCCAACGCTTCAAAGATTGTCTTACCAACCACAGACTCTGAATCATCGATGAGTTTGACGACGAACTGAAACGCTTCTTCATCCGTCATCGGTTCACCACCGATGTCGATTCCATGAGCCTCGATAAACTCCCAAGCCCTGTCCATTTTTTTCTTTGTTATTTTGGCTGCGCGTTTCGCGGCGCGGAGTTTAGCTTTCAACTTGTAAGCTGGGGTAGAGTTGTGCTTCGCCCGCACCGCCTTGTACTGTGGAGTAGATCTGATCATCACCTGCACCGCCTTGTACTGTGGGGTAGATCTCTTCTTCGCCAACATCGCCTTGTACTCGGGAGTTGACATCTTCTGCTTCTGTGCTGCCTTGTACAATGGGCTGGATATCTTCCTCAACCGCGCCACCCTGGCCTCTGCGGGGGATTTGTTTTTCTTCCGTATTGTCTGGACAATCCCAGACTTTAATTTCCTAGCCGCAGTTCTCGCATTGGCGATCGCCCTGTACTCCGGTGTAGCTCGATGTATCCTCTCCTTTTCCTTGGTAGCAGGGTCGTCTCTCTTGATCTTTGCCTTTGCCTTGGCCGCTGGGGTAGATCGACGTTTGTTGTTCTTCGCGTTCCTCGCTTTCCGGGCCTCCGGTGTTTCATTGGCATACAATGCCTTGTTCTTTTCCCGCATCGCTGCCTTATACTCAGGGGTGGATGTCCTCACACGATTCTGCTTTTGTATTTTTACCTTATTCTCTGGTATATTGTTACGTATCCTCTGCTTCTCCTTCGCCTTCTCCTTGGCATCAGGGTGGTCTCTCTTTTCCTTCGCCGCTGCCTTGGCCTCTGGGGTGTGAACCCGTATTCTCTTCTTCTCACGTGCCTTCGCATTCTTCGCGTCCCTGAACCCTGGAATGGCCAATTTCAAACGCCACCAATCGCGAGCCTTCGCATTCTTCATTTCCTTGGCCTCCCGTGCCTTGGCATCTAGGATGGATACCTTCACCGCCGCCTCCGTTATCTCCACCGCGACCTTGGCATCTGGTGTGGAGTTCTTTACTTTTTGCAACACATTCTTCGCTGGCTTGAATGTAGGAATGCGTCTACTTGTTTCTAGCCTCATTCTCTTCATGGTCATAATGCGTGCTGGGGGTTATGAACACCTGCACAAATACTACTACTGTGGTCGACATTCTTATATGTGACAAGTGTGCGTGTTTTTTGTAAGCATATGGTTGTGTGGGGTAAGATTTGTAGTTGCTTTACAATAGTGATTTACAAAAGGGATTTACCAACAAGAATTTGCAAAAAAGAATTTACAAAAAGAAATTTACAAAACGGAATTTACAAAAATGAATTTACAAAAAGGAATTCTTTTCTTGCCATGGCTCAGAATCGAACTGAGCTGGACAGTGTCTCACGCGCTTGAAGCGTGCGCCTTCCCACTTGGCTACCATGGCATCTGGACATCGTAAGAAATGAACATGTTGCAATTCATACGTAGTCTGATAACTATTCTGGATATAGTCTTTCGTATTGGTTCTACAGAGAAACGACACGTGTCAACTTATGTAAATACTCCATAAGTTGACACCCATGATGACATATGAGATTTGACTAAACCCAGTCGTGGCTTGATTACATATTCTCACATCGAGACGATCTACATTCAACATATAAAAGGAACATGTTATTAAAATATTACATCCGCGAAATAGAGAAGATGCATCGGATAGCACATACACCAAATGCAATTGAGCGTATGGCAACGTTGTTGAAATGCATTCACAAGGGGAAGACCGACTGGGCACTGGAATCTATGGTTTGCATGCAAGACGACGATCTGGAGGTCCCCAATACCAGTTTTTTTAACCGAACTGTTCTTATGGAGGCAGTGATGAACCTCAGGCCATTCCCTCGTTCTCATGCGCATGGATATCTTTCCGGGTTGGATGTGAATGACTTCAGAATCATCTTGCACCTTATTAGAATGGGTGCGAGCACAGCCACAAAAGACACTATCGGGGAAAACGCTTTTCACCACGCTGCACGTCATGCGGACTACAAGACCCTGTATATTATGATAAAAGAGACATCGACTCCGGAATTGATGGAACGGGGGACATATGCTCGTCGAAATGATGGGCAAACGCCTATGCATGTTGCTATAGCGAAATCACGCGGGTGGGGCCTAATCAGCTGTTTTTTTGATGCATGTATGGATGCCAGAGATGCTGCAAACGGTAAAGACAATGATGGACGTACACCACTTCATTTTGCGGTCATGTATAACGACGAAGAAACTGTGCGAGGTATTCTGGAGAACTATGGGATAGAAAACAATGTTCCAGACAAAGATGGTGTTACTGCATTTATGATGACATCGGAGAAGCCTGCGATCCGACAGATTTTTTTGGATTATGATTATACCGATACCAAGTGGTACAGCAAATGGAGGAATGCGGAGTCTTCGACATTTCAGCATAGTTTTCCCGCACGTCCCACCCCCGCCTACTATCACAGCGGCCCCGAGCAAATCTTAATGAACCGGGGTGCTCACATTTCTGATGAAGATGCAGATGTGTGGAATTTGATAAACCATGGTCGAAAGTGAGAAGTTTTGTAGAGGTTCAATGCGACACCGGTGAGAATGAAAAAAAATATGTGAGCATGTTACATATAAGAACGTCGTGTGTATGTTTATAAACATGGACACAGGTCCTCCAGTTTGGACAGAGGTGCGATACGGAACTCTCCGTGGGCTCAAGGCATTACTCCAGACATTGACACGGGAAGAAGCATTAGCACCGGGTGGAAAACACCTCACGAGCCCACTACATGAGGCCATATCAAGGCAAGACATTGATATGGTTAATGCATTACGAAAGGCTGGTGTAGACATTGCATACAAACCTCATTCGGGAGAAGCAGCAGGGCTAACAGCTTACAGGTATGCAGTGCAAGTGCGTCACAACAGTCCTTTTGGTTCGGATATCACCAGAAACCTTTTGCAAGAACAGACACACGGGCTAGAGTATGCCCAACAGCACGCTATAATGGCTAAAATGAAAGCTAAAATCGTTGAAACGAGGGCATTGCGTGACAAACATATGGCATTCGCCATGGGACACCACCACAGGACAGGACAAGACTCATGGGTAAGTAACTTGGAGAGAGGAGTTGTTGATATGATCCTGAAGGAAGTCCAAAACACCCATGTTTGAGTGTGTGTTGATTCAATTCCAACAAGCCCCAATATGTTTACAATGAGTATATATGCATATACACATTTACCCAGAAACGACCTATATGACGCTACAGCGGCGCTTTGAGAAATTCTCAGATCTACCGAGAACAAATGAGGGTGATTACAGTTATCTCGAGCACAACGTGGACGTCGAGCTTGAGGAACCGATAGATCGCGGTGATGAACATTGTACCGCAGAAGTCGCGTACAGTCGTTTAGCGTTTACCAGAGAACAATTAGATGCAGGAGGTGAACAAGGGGTTGAAGGGTGGACGCTACTGATGGTTGCCGCGTGTGACGGTTTTCCTGAGGCTGTCAAATGGTTGCTACACGAGGCTGGGTCTGATGCGAACGTACTGTTGCATACAAAACCCCCCTATGGTGACACTGCTCTCATGTTGGCATCAAGTAGAGGAGTTCCGTCGACAGTGCTCACGCTTCTTGAGTGTGGCGCGGATGTCGACCAATGCGACGATAATGGGTGTACGGCACTTCACCACGCCGCTATGGGTAACGATTGGGAAGGCAATACATGCAAAGTGATAGAAATTCTCCTCTCGTTTAACGCTGATATCAATGCAAAAGATAATAATGGGGACACTCCGCTTATGGTCGGATGTGTGAATGGTTCTATGCGAGATGAGGATAGTTTCCTGCTTGTCCGCAGTGGTGCCAATATAGAAACGAAGAACCTGCTTGGAGAAACTGCCCTGCACTTGGCGTGTGGTCAAGGTAAGACTAGTGCTATGACTGCTATATTGGCCGCATGTGATGCAGATCCATATGTATTGAACGACGCCCGGAAAAGTCCGATACATCTCGCCAACAGCCCGTGTGGTCACGGGGATGATGTAGTCGATATCCTCGACAGTTTGCGTATCTATGCCGATCACCTCAATCTATCCTTCCCAGACATAGATGGAAACACGTTGCTTCATACGGTTTCGGGTCAATTCCTTGGACGGCCTCACGAATCCGATGAAGGTATTCAACAGGTGAGATGGCTCATCAAACATGGTGCTCCTATCAACGCTGTCAACGGTGTTGGCAATACACCCTTTCACTGTCGCGTGGCGATTGGGGTTGTTTCAGATGACGAAGTTGAGTGTATGAATCTGTTGCTCGTCAATGGGGCATCACTCAAAATCAAAAACTTTGCGATGGAGAC